TAGCTCCAGTGTTGAGACCAACTTACACAGCACAGTATGTACCATTTTCTTCAAGCTGATATCATTTGCAAACAATGCAGCATTGATGATACCCCTGAGAATGATTTACTGATGTGCATTGGCTTATTGACGGCTTTTTGATGGCAGATCTAGGATAGATTATTTTGTGAGGATGCCGAACGCAATCCACTTTTTGGAGGCCAATCAGAATGCGTCGTGTCAACGGTACCGAGCTGGGTACGAAGCCCCACTGAGCCGTGGTACTGAGTGGTACCGAGCCGGGTACCGAGCAAATGGCGACGTGGCGCATTCTGATTGGCCTCCGGACGGCGTTCGACATCCGTACAAAATAATTTCCCCAGATGTAGACTTTGATGAATAATTGCTAGGTCGTCTCTGTAACCAAACTTTGCCTCTTGGATGATCCTCTTGGCAACGAGGGGAGTTGCCCCATTAATATCTTAATTATGATATTTGGATATATTTTTGCCTATTTGGAGTTCAGTCTTTTGATTTCAATTGTTTGCTTTTGCATCATTCTACACTTAATAAGTTAATAATTTTTAGTATTACTCTTTTTTGTTGCAGCTCAATGTAATCTTGTGCTCTTATTTTTCTTTGAGTTGTAATTTATTTGCCACAGTTGTAACCTTTTTTTTTTTTACATAATAAAATTCGTTGAATAATAAAAGGGTGGGTACAACATCAAAAGACCAATAGCCCGTGATACAAAACAGTAAAAATCCAAAAAATCAAACATAGCAAAATAAGCAATGAAAGGGGACTCAGGAATGGAGGTCCCCAGCACCAACCTACCAGCCAAACACAAATCATCTGTAGGTGACAATGTACGATCACAATCCATAATCCAAAGTCGATGCACCCAGGTTGCCAACCAGCTCAGCCAACAAGGAGAAGCAAGGGCCTCATCATCATCGTCCATCAAAACACCGAAAGCCACCAACGAAATCGCAAGAGCCAAAACATAAACCTTATTTCTTCTTGCCTTTTTTTTTTTTGCTTATTACCACTCGCATTAAGAACACCACAAACAGCAAAATGGTCATTCTCAATTTATGATAATAAGTTTCTTCCCCACTAGAAGGTGAAGAAAGTGAATCCTCTAAAATCAACTAGTCGGTTTGAACCAAAACATAGTTTTTCACAGGCTTAGCAACATGATCTTTCATTTCCACATTAGACATAACCGAAATAGGGATATTAACAAAATAAGGAGCGAACATAGCTATAATTTTAATGAATAGTATAGGAAAAAAAAAGAGAGTCAAATAATTTCAAAAAAAAAAAAAAAGAAATCGATTTGAATTAGGGTTTATCAAAATCGGGTCACGGGTCGAGTTTGGGTCCAACCTGAAACTGACTGAAACTGACCCAACCGTTTTTATAAATGGGTCTGTTTTTTGAACCCGAACCCGACCTGCTTCGGGTCTGGGTCAATTCGAACCCGACTCGCTTCAGGTATGTTTTACTAAATTTTTTTTTATTTAATTCAATTTATTTAAATCTAAATCAAGTTAAGGTAAGATTCACTTCAATCAATTTAAAATAAATCAAGCTTAATTTAATTTGGGCAACAATATTTATTATTTTTTATAAATATCATTTAATTATTTCATAAAAATCTTTTAATATCCTCCTAAATTAATTAAAAACGGGTCAAACCGGGTTGATTTCGGGTTTTCGGGTCAACTCGAACCCGCCCTGATTTTACAAACAGGTCGAAATCCCTAATTTGAACCCGACCCGATTCGGTTTCAGGTTGACCCAAAACCAAAATTTTCGGATCGGATTAAATATTGACACTCCTAAATTGAATAGCAATAGTCATTAACCTATCGTCATTCATGAAATTAGATTTTATTCATTCATGAAGAAAGTGAAAAAATAACATAGACCTCAGCACATAGCAACATTATTTTTGTATGATCACATAAAGTATTATATACTATTTTCCTCTATAAAAGACAGTCTATACTTAATTTATAATCTCTTTCTCTCTTTATACATACTTCTCTCTCTACAAGAGGAGTTCATAGAAGCATAGAAAGAGTTAGGGTATAAATGAGCTGTGCCTAGCTCAAGTAACTCCTAACTTGAACTCAAAACTCGATTAATTAAACAAGTTTGAGCTTTTATTTGTTCTTAATTTTATGAGCTTGACCTGACTCACGAGCTAATGAGTTGACTTTGAGCTGGCTCAAATTTGACTGGTTAGCACATTGATTTTGACTCATAAGTCATTTAGAGCCGAGCCTGAGTAAGCTCACAAATCAATTTGACTCACTCACATCCCTAGTAATAAGTATCCACATAAAGACGAAAAAAAGAATATTCTAATCTATTATTATATAGTGATATTTCTAATGAAGCCGTAGTTTTATAATTTAAAATATAAATAAAGTGAGAGAGATTTCAACATACTCCACCACTGCCAAATCCACCGATAGAAGTGGAGGGAATGAAATGCTCTTTGGGCCACCACCAAACCTCAGTGCTGGCCTTTGAGAACTCAAATCCCATCATTGCTTGAGAATAGCCCTTTGCCCACCCAACTTACCTTTGAGAAGGACTACCAATTTGGCTCAATGCATCTATAATGCATGTACATTCATGCACTTATGCATCTATATTTGTGTGAATGTATTATTAGTGTATGTTACTTAGTAGAAAATAATATTGGAAAGTTATTCTATTAATGAAATGTATGATTTTGAAAAACATGTGTGTATTATCATTTAAATATTTTTGGTATGCATTTATTTTTCAATATATTGGAACAACTCGGAAATAAAAAATATTTTAGGATATGAATTTTTGAAATTTTGTTTGAACTAGAGTGCCTTGGCACTGTGCTTGTGAGCATTGAGGTGCTAAATCTGAGAGCATAGCGGTGTCAAAAATCGCTGCCTTAACGGTTGAGTCTCTATTTTTATAGTAGTTATGGTTCTACTTGCAACGCTGGGAAACAATGCTGGGAAACATGTGTTTATTATCATTTAAATATATTTGGTATGCATTTATTTTTTTATATGATTTTATTGCATTTTTTACTAGTTAAATTTGTGTATATAAACGTTTTTGTGAAAGGAGTAGGAAATTAAAATGTGTACTGAAAATGATCTGAATTGAATGTGAATTGGGCAAAAATAACTGAAATGCAATTAATATATTTTGAAATGATGTATTATACTGCATTGATACTGATCCGATAGAAAATGATATACTGATTGATATCATATATATATATGATTTTATAATCCCACATTATAATCTCAAGATTTACTGATTCACTATTGGGAGTTATAAGGAACTTGAGATTGATGAAGCTATAAGGAGCCAAGGTAACTGATTCACGTGACTCAAGAAGAGTTATAAGGAGTACACCGATTATGACTTATAAGATGTGACTGATTGAGAGTCATAAGTGTATAAAGTAGAAACCCTCTCATGAATATCTAATAGAATATTGATTACTGATACGAATTATTATTAATTCTAAATACTGCTAACTGATATTGATTACTAACTAATATTGTACGAACATTGATTGCTATTATTATTTACTATAACTGAATACGGATACTAACACTATTGTTAACTGCATAACTGATAGATTGACGAAGATGATTGAATGATAAAGACAGAATGATTGATTGATTGATACATGTGACTGGTACTGATAGACATATTGATTCATAGATTTCGTTACATGATTTCAAGCATACTATTTCTCTTTTGCCTTGCTTGATTTTGGTTATAAGATTTTAGTTATTGCTAGGTTATTCACTCATTACGTGGTTTTATATGATTCTAGGTTATATAAATGTAACAGTTCGAACAGTTTTTCCCGTTTGGACTCCGCACAGAATAATGTCTCCCTCTCACCATATAGCCCCCTGCTCCCTTGCTCGAAATTGATTCGCACTTGCGTGTGCCATCTTATTGTAGGAGATTATGTTGTTACAAATGGGTAGATTTTTGTTATATTTTCGTCAAAAAACTATAAATATCCTGCACATCATGAGTCCTCTTTTATCATTTTGCATAGAGAAGTGAGAATTAGGAATAGTAAAAGAGAGAGTTTGAATGATTTTTATTTATGTTTTAAAATGTAATGCTTCGATTGCTTTATATTTTGTGTATTAATATCTTTTTAATGTTAATGGTTAAAATTTTGTGCATCTTGCTCAGAGTCGCTCCATCGTTATCTCAAGCTTGCTCGTGTAATGCCCTACATCATCCCTCACAACACCCTCGCATCATGATCCCCACATGATCGTATCTCGTGCCATAATCCCACTTTGCATCTTAGGAGCATGCACTACAGTTATATCATTCATTTAGAGCGTATTGAGGCAATCGTATGCCCATATACTTTTTCTGCAATCATGCTAGTAATTAAGAACTATTGGTGGATATCCTCACCAAATCGAGAAATTATTACGTGTGGAGTTCGAATATGTCTGGACTTCAATAAAAATGTGACACTTGTTCTTGTACATAGTGTGTACAACTGTGCACACTTTGCATTAATTATAAAATTATATATATAATGTGTACAAACTTATATATATAATATACATAATATGTACACAATTGTACATATAGAGTGTACAAATTTGTATACATTGTGTACAAGGACACGAGTTACATCCGGACTCCGCACGTAATAATTACTCCACCAAAACTAGCTCATGAAAGAAGTTGAAGCTCGAAATAGACACATTAAGAGAGTATATAAACTCGATAAAATATGCACTTATTCTCTCTTAAGCATAGAAAATTTTGAAAATTTAGGTATCAAAATGCATCAACATTTTCCACTGATACAGCAAATCTTTAATGAGAGTGAAATCAGGTCAAGATAAGACCATTAACAGCACTAGCAAAAAGAAGAGAAATTTCCAAATCCACTGAAGTTAGCTTTGTGTGCGCTGGACATATGTGACAGTTGAGAGCTCTCATTTCCTCCCCACTTCCACTACTGTCAATATTCGCCTTTTGGCACTGTATAATCTTCCTCGCAAAGGTAAAGAATGTAAAAAAGAGACTTTAACCCTTTAATGCACATCATCATATTCAAGCTACTCATTCTATCAAGATTCAAACATACCCCGCCTCAAAAAACCATTAGGAAGGAACCGCAACTGAAGCTTCCAATTTTTTCATCTTTTCCTGCTCTAGTGATGCATATCCATGGATCAAACGTGGAGAAGACTTCATGTCTTGCTTCTTCCTTGTGCTTGTTCTTTAAAGTCGTGTTTTCTTAAGAAGTTTTTTAAAAGTTAGCAGAAAGGAAGCTCTTTTATGCTATTTATATCCAAGTTCCGACAGAGGATAGTTCTTAATCTCTGTATTTTTTCTCATGGACGTGGTATCACGGTGAGGGGTGGTCGAGGTTTGCGATTTGAAGGCAGGAATGGGTAACTGCTGTTTCGGGGTTAGCCCTTCCATTTACAGAGTATCTTCCAATGCGAAGTCAGGTGAGCTTAATCTGGCTATGTAATCCATCTAATTTGAGTTGGGGTTTTTGGTTTCCTTGTCCCACTCATTTTGTGATAAAAATTGTCAAGTTTGATTGCGTTTCTCCCTTTTGAATTTTTTTTTTTTGTGCAGTATAGTTTGAATGCTTCGTTGTGTGAGAGTTGTGAATCTCAAATGCTATATTGTTGAGGATTTTTTTTTCAATATTGATCGATCAGCTCTTATAGTTTAGATATCTACCTTGTTTTTTGCTGTTTTTCTGCTCTATAAGACTGGCAATCAACTGATCTAGCCCAATAAAGTCATAAGGTTCTTGAAAGATTTTCTTGATTGATATTATGTGAGGTTTTACTGCAGCATAGTATTCCATCTCCATTTTTTTGTTTTTTTTTTTTGCTACTTTATGTTCATAAAATTTAAATGTTCATCAATAAGAAAAAGACTGGTGAGGTAAGGCATACTGTTTATTCCAATATGCAAACGTTTCAATTCGACTGATGCTTCTCCAGAATGGGAGTTCTAAATGTTTCACTGTAAACAATTAACTAAATTTTGTTTTTTGAGTTCTTTTTCCATCTCTTTCAAAGTGTAGTTTTGCTTTCTTTCTCAAGCTAATCAACTTATAATATCTTTTAGAATCTCCAAAAATGCTCAGTCCTTCTTTAGTAAAAGAAGAGGAGGAGAAGGAACGTAGCAAATTGCCATCTAATCCTGCGGAAGTCGAGGACTTACTTCGGGATTCTGCTTCAAATCCACTTATTGCTTTCACTTTCAATGAACTAAAAGAAGTAACTGAAAACTTCAGGCAGGACTATTTTCTTGGGGGAGGGGGTTTTGGCAGTGTATACAAAGGATTTATCAATGAAAATGTTAGGAAGGGGCTTCAAACTCTTCAAGTTGCTGTTAAAGTTCATGATGGGGATAACAGTTTCCAGGGACATAGAGAGTGGCTGGTATTCAGTTCTTATCAACTCAATATTGTTCTGTTTTTTTTGTTTCTCGTTTCACTTTGTTTTTGTATTTCATCACTGATTAATCTACCAGTAAGCAACTCTAACTGAAATTTTCTTTTTTGCAGGCAGAGGTCATATTTCTTGGTCAACTTTCACACCCAAATTTAGTTAAATTGATTGGATATTGCTGTGAGGATAACCACAGGGTCCTCATATATGAACTATTGCCTCGAGGGAGTGTGGAAGCCAATCTTTTTTCAAGTAATTATGCTTGATTACATTACCTTTTTTTTTTTGCAGGCTTTTATAAGTCATTATTCAAAGATCTATTACAAAATAAGCAGATTAGATGGTACAAGATGCCTTTCTTTTTTAGACCTTTATAATAAGCACTACTAGGATTTGCCATGAAACCAAGTATAATGTCGCGACCAATGTTTTATGGCAAATCTTATCAGTAATATCAGAATTTTATATCAAATCTTGGTAATCTTTCAGTATTTCAAGAAACCCTGGAGTAAGATCAGCTTAACTGATCTTGTTTGTGAAATAAGTTAAAACTATTATCCTTGTTTGTAGAAGTTTTGAAAGTTTTGTAGTTTTTTGAATGAATGACAAACTACAGGAAGTTTTATACAAACCACCCTATCATTTTTGTCATATTCAATTGGCTGTAAAAACTTTCCTTGGTTTTAAGTGATAGTAATGAGAATGTTAAGTTAGAAAGATTGTATTGCTAGCACTAATTAAAGTTATGGCTGTAGAAAATTAACAGTTTTAAGCGGTTTGGGAGTGTTCGATGGAGAGAACATAGGCCAGTCAGGCGTGGAGACAGATTTAAAACGAAGAGAATTGAAGAAAAACAAGTTGGCCGATGATGACATGCTAAGAACTAGGATGTTATGATGTAGAAAAAGTGAACTGGATTGAGGGTATGGATTGCTAAGCTAGAAGAAATGAAGAACTTATGAGGTTGACTAAAATAGGTTTCGTAGGACTAATTAACAGTGATGGCAATGGATTCTTATTCAAAAGTTTATGATCATGTAATGTATTTCTTTTGATTTTTTTTGGCAAAATAATGGTGATCTAAATTGTTTGTGAAGGTGTGGCAAGTTGGCTTTGAATTTATTCTAGTAAAGCATATATATAATTGGAGCTGCTGTCAGCATTATTGAGAAGTTAAAATACAATTGTGGCCGAATTTGATATGTTTAACATCATTTGTATTAATTACATTGACTTAACAACAATGGATGAAGTTGCAAAACTGTGAGATACTTAGAGATTTAGTACATGATATGAGAGGGGATATCTGGCTTGTAAATTGATGGGTAGAAGGACAAATATATCAAAATAAAATAGAGCAACTACAAGAATATTGAAGAAAATAAAGATAATTGAATGATTATCGTGGTATTATCGACTCTAGTTTTCATGTTCGCCATCTCAATGGTGTGGATCTATTTGTATATGACCAATTTAATTCTACAGTATCATATTTATCAAATTTAGCTCCTTGAACTATGAAATGCTCCAATACTAATGCTAGATGTCTGTACCTATTATTTATCCAAACTACAACTTTTCTTATGCAGGGGTTTTGCTTCCACTTCCATGGGACATTCGAATGAAAATTGCGTATGGTGCGGCCAAAGGTCTTGCTTTCCTACATGAAGCTAAAAAGCCAGTTATCTATCGTGATTTTAAAACATCAAACATCTTGCTAGATGAGGTTAGTAAGCCTAAGTGCTTCAATTAATCGTTTTCTAATGTAAAGTTGAAGGCCACTTTTTACAATATTATTACAATTAATTGCTTGATTTATTATTTCTGTAAATCATTATGTTAGATCCGTGATGCTAAAATATTCTTAGATAAGTGATGATAACACTTATAAGAAATATGCTCAAATATTCTTATAAGAAAATCCACTCTAATGAAAAGAGAATTCTTTTAGTTAGAACACTTTTTCTTATAAACAGTGAAAATTTCATTAAAGATAAAGTGATTAAAAAAGTCATTATAAGATTGTTACATGATGAATGGAGCTGGAAGCACAGTATAATAGAGAACAAAGTATGCAGAGAGCAGGAGGACCCGTTTACAGTGAAGAAGCGATTAGCTGAAGTCAGTTATCCATTCAGATGGATAATGACTTGAACTCTCTGAAAGAAGATGCCAAACTCTTTGTCACTGCATTGATATTTCTATTCACTCTGCTAATCTTACCTCTCATTGGCACTTGTTTTATTGAACTGATTTAGCCAAAGTCCTCCTTTATTTGTCTTCTTTCTACAACTTTTTATGTTGTGGACAAAGAACACAAGTTAAACATTCTTAATAAATATGTTCTTAAGTATCACACTCGGTTCCCCGGAACTAAATAGACCCCATTTGATTCCTCATACCATTCAAGGGGAACTCTCATGTACATTTCCAATTTGTTTTCTATTGATTCTCACCAATCCTTTAGAATTTGTTGATCTTTGTTACTAATGACATTTTATTTAACTTGAAGAACTGAAAATTTATTCAAACCATCAATTTTTTTTTTCAACTCCTTATCTTTAATAAATGCCACTCCAATCATTTCATTAAAATAATTATTTTTCAATCTATCATTTCTAATTTTTCCAAACATCTAAATTGCATCACCAATATTCATGGCAGAAGTTTAACAGGCCTACCAATTAAGAGACGTCAGCTTGTTGGCATAGCCTTCCAGGCATTATTGCTGCCACCAAAAGCAAGTTTCTGAAAAGAAGACGCTGTTACATGAACATGCACTGTGACCTTTATCAACGTCTCCTTACTGATCCATTATTTAATAGAGATCTTCATCTAAATGCCTTGAGAGTTTCTATCAACGTCTGCATCATTTAACTCTCTCGCATGCATCACAAATTTTAAAATGCCTATTCTGGATTGAAATGTTACACCATGTACAAAGTTGTAATTTACTCTTTATTGAATAACTAGCTCATTTAATTTCATATGCTAGTGTCTTTCAACTGCCTTAGACTTTGTTAGCATCAGACTATTTCACCCTCTTTCTTTTTGCAAAATTACAATTAGGGGGTGTCAAAATCGGGTTTCGGGTCAAGTTCGAGTCGAATCCAGAATTGACCCAGGTTCAAACGGGTTGACCCGAACCAGACCCAATTTTACAAACTGGTCAAAAATACGAACCTGGTCCAGACACGTCGGGTTACCAGGTTGACCCGACCCGACACGGTTTTGTAAGCCCGGATACCTTATTCCCGAATGTGTCGGATTGCAGGACTGCGGACGACGCGTCGACGGCTACCGCTTGGCCAGAGATGCACAGCAGGGCAGCAGGGAAAAGCAACGCCAGTGCGGTCATGTAGGCAGCAGGCTTGGTCACGCGGTAACGCGGGCAGCAGTCAACGCGGGTCAATCCGGGTCATTCTCGGGTTTCCCGGTCAACCCGAAACCAACCCGATTTTTGAAATGGGTTGGTTTGCTGAATCCGACCCGTTTCACAAATGAGTTGACCCTAACCCGGTATTTTTTAGTCGGGTTCTAGTCTGGTTTTCGGGTCGTGTCAAATATTGACACATCTTATTATAATTATGCTAAGTTACGTATTGCAGCCTTGAGCTTCATGCAAATACTGAAAGGAAAATATTAAAGATGAAAGAAGGAAACAATTGCAGACATAAATAACGTACTTAGTAAAGAAGTTATAAGCAGTTTTTCTATGCTTATAACATAAAAAAATTACAATTGACTGTCAAAACCAACAACCAGCAGTCTACCCATGCTATATAAATTGAATTTGATTTCTGTCTATCAAATCAACTTCTAAAGTTGAAACAGTGTTCATTATTTCAATTCTCACTTCATTCTGTTTCTGCTAATTTTAAACGTTTCTCTGCATCGAACTCTTATGGCTTGCTAGCAATACCTGCTCAAAAACAGCAAAATGAAAATGGATGCCTACAACATGGTCCTTGAAAATGGACAAGGAATCTTCTTCATGTTCTTCTTTCAGAATTGGATACTTATTTTTATATATAAATAAATTTGCTTACTGAAATGACATGTTATGTAGCATTATGATGCCAAACTTTCAGACTTCGGACTAGCAAAAGCTGGTCCAGTTGGCGACAAGTCTCATGTTTCCACTAGAATTATGGGAACTTATGGATATGCTGCTCCTGAATACATAATGACAGGTAGGTCTATAAAAACTAAAGACCACATAGTGATTATGGGCCATGTTAACACTGCAACTAATGACTCCATGCAGGTCATCTGACGGCGAAGAGCGATGTATACAGCTTTGGTGTTGTGCTTCTTGAACTGATCACAGGCAGGAAATCACTTGAGAAGTTCCGGCCAGTAAGAGAACAGACACTTGCTGACTGGGCTTTCCCTTTGCTTACCCAGAAGAAGAAGCTCCTCACTATTGTTGATGCAAGGCTTGATGGAAACTATCCAGAAAAGGCAGTTCACAAGACTGCAATGCTTGCTTACCACTGCCTCAACCGCAACCCGAAGGCGAGGCCCCTTATGAGGGACATTGTTGAGACATTAGAGCCTCTTCAGTCAGATGCCAGTAGAGATCCCAAATAGCAATAAATAGGATTTGAATTTGTTTACGTGAAATATAGGAGCAAAGTAATGGGGTATTATTGTTGAAATTTACTGTTTCATTGCTTGGGTTTTGTATTTAAGTTGCTAGAATTGTATGGACCGATTAAATTTAGCTGATGTAAGATGCCTTAAAGCGAGCTTTTTGAACTGCAATCTATGTTTGTTTGCTGCCTAGAGATTTGCTGCTGTTGCCTTTTGTATTTGAGGAGGGATTATGTTGATAAATATGATTTCCTCTATGAATGTGAGTGACTATAGTTAATGTGTGCACATTATTTAAGCTTTGAGGAAAGTTGGTTACAAGTGTTAATGCAGTAGTAGGGTTGAAGTTTTAAGTTGGAGTCTTGCTAACGCATTTATTTTGCAATAGCATTAATCATCATAATTGTTATGATTATTCAACAAATTTTACGTTGGTTGTCGACTGCCTAACACAGTCCTCCACTTTTCTCATCTAGGACTTAGGACTTGACAACGATTTTACTTATGTAAGAAAGGTAGAGGTAAACCTAAAAAGATTTGGTTATAAAATATTAGAAATATTCTTTCTTTATTAGATTTCAATGAGAGTTTGATTCTTAACAAGACACGATAGAGAAAAGGATTCATGTAGTCGACCCACGTAGTGGGATAAAGACTTGATGTTGTTGTTCTATTAATCATCATAATTGTCTTCATTATTATTGCATTTTGGAAGCCATGTTAGTAGAGAGAAAATTTATTATCTTATTGAGCTAAAATCAATCATGATGCAAGAAGTTTTTTAGTAAACTTGATGCGATAAAATTTTCGTGGATCTTGATGAAAAAAAATCAAATTAAATTCAAGACCACTCAAAATTTTAAGTGTGGGCTCCGAAAATTCACACCCCAGCCTCTCCGTACCTCTCTTATTAATGGAGAGAGTTTTAACGGATTTAGGTTCCAAGAAACTTTTAGAAGGCATATTATGTTTTAGATAAGGCACTATTCATAAATTTTGCTCTTATTTTGCAAGATTTCTATGATCTGAGTTTTTGGGGAATGAAGACGAGCCCGATCAAGATCCCATGGTTTTGTCATCCCGGATTGTCATGGTTCCTAGTCTGCTTAATCATAGGAGGTAGTCGACCCAACCTGACAGAAGGAACCTTCTCAGCAGTCATGGGCTATTTCATCCAACAATACCCTGTAGACATGGTGTGGATGTTTATCTAAGGTGATGAATTTAACTCCTGCACAATATTCTCAGACATTTGTATTTGCAACTTTAGCATGTTTGTTGGAGCACATGCGGGATGTGTTTACAGCATAGAAATTGGAGCTATTATAGATATATCGCCTTTTGTTCGCTTGTATAAGTGTACATATTTGGTGGCGTAAAGATAAATTAGGTTTTAGTCGTAATACATAGAAGATATGCTGTTTAATTCATTTTGTCTCTTTCAAGTTATCATATCATTCAACATAGGTAGGGGAATTTTGTTCAATATGCACTAGGAGATTATATTCTTGCTTGCGAGTGAGTTAAATCATTTGCTACGAATCTCTTATTGTTGCATATTGGCTAGTTATCTATACTAACAATCCCCTGCTCCAGCTCTATCTCATAGGTGAATTGTATCATCTTTAGGAAGTTTAATAGTACTTTTTTTCTTAATCTACTATTTTCTGGTGTGTCCAATTTCATCAGTAGTTTGGCATAACATAGTGCTACATCCAACTCCCTCTGCTTCAGCATTTTCTAAGTTGAGGTGATATATTACGCTATAGTCTTTTACTTGCATGAGTTTCTCATCTTTTTCAAGCACTTCAAGTGCCTCGTCCTGCCATCCAAACTAACAAGTGTTCTACGTGAGAAAGATACACCTTCTGCATAAGCACTGCTCTTCCCAAAAATTTTAAAAGCTAGTAAGAGCGCTTTCATACAATTCAGACTCTTTCTATCACTTGAAATCCTTTTTAGTAGGTTCAAGGCAGTCGAAATATCAACCTCTCCTAGATAATTATGATGATATGTAACATATACTAGTTAGTTTTGATTAATGAAATACATGATTTAAATTTGAGTTTTATGAAAGCTTTTGTATATCATTCAATCACAATCATAATTATGTGGGGGTCCTTTATCATGCAAAATTCGAAGGGAGGTTGGGAGGCACTTTCCTTACAAGTCCGCCCGGTTGGATATGACTCGATGGCCGAGGGCTTCGGGACGATGATTGATCTCGATATAGATCTTCGAGTTATCAATTGCTTGCGGTACCTGTTAATTAAATATGATTTAATTTTTTTAAAAAAAGTTTTTTTTTTTCATTTTCCTTGAAAATTTGACAGCCTCCCAGCATCCCCTCCCCGTAAAGGGAGATTGGGAGGGTACTTGCCATTTCAAATCCTCCCTGCTGGATAGGATTTGACGATCGAGGGCTTCGGGATGTTGATTGGTCCCGTCATAAGTCTTCGAGTCTTCAATTCGCTCGTCATTCTTGTTAATTAAATATGATGTAATTTAAAAATGTCCTTTTCCATTTCCCTTGAACGAAGGTAGATTGGGAGGGCACTTGACTTTCAAATATGTCTGGCCATATATGACTCAACGGCCAAGGGCATTCGGTTTTTAGGGAGTGAGTGTGAGACATCGACCATTCTTTTGTGCTTTTTAGTGAGTTTTGTATCGTGGGGACTTATGTGAGTTAGTGGGTTCGTGGAATGGTTGGGTTGGTTGGTTAGAGAGGTCAACAGTAAGGGGTTGTTTGTTATGAGATTGGATTTAATTTTAGTGAGATTTAGTAAATTTGAAGGGTGTTAATTCCTGAAAATTGTTTGATATGATATAAGTTAAATTTTGGTAAATCATGAGAAACTGTTTGGCAACGTAATCCAATTAAGACAGTTGATTCATTTAGAAATTAAATTTATTGTGCTTTGATTTTAATTTGCTTGTTAACTATGAGTTTCTTATCAACTTTAATTTTAATAACCTTTAATAAGTTATACAAGATCATGTAATCCTTGCTCCGCCCTAACCTACCCAAGGCAGGTTGGAGTAGATTTATATGTTTTAAAGGTTTTGCTATAAAATTGATGCGGTCTAGTATCCTATCCGCATAACCACCTGCCTGTAGCCTGGGCCACTATCTTTTCACCTTTTACCTTTTTACACGTTTTCTTCTCTCTTTTTGAATAGTTTTAGCCAGCTCAGCTTTGGCTTATATAGCCTTACTGGGAGCATTTTCGGGACAACAAGAAGAAATATACTACAGCTTATTTTCCCCAAATCACTGTTCCATTGCATTTGTCTTCTCTGTTTCTTGCAGGAAATCCCTTCGGACGCCGGCTTCAGACGTCGCCTCCTCAGTCGCACGGGTGAGACCGTCAGTTGGTATCAGAGCTAGTACCGGAGTGATGGCCGCAGAAACTTCGCGAAAAGCTTCCGACGACGATCGAAGCTTGGATGCCGTGTGGGCAGCGCAAGCTGGCTTCGCACGGCAGCTCACTGAATTAAGAACGGAGTTCGCTCGATTCTCCGCGGAACTGCGTAATGAACTATTGGATCTGAAGACTGCTATCCGTCCGCCGCAACCAGCCAATGTCCAGATCCCTCGGCCACAGACGGAACAGATAAGGGCTCCGTTAGGACCAAGGGGACCTCATCGATTAGCCAGGGCAGCATACACTGAACTTACCGATTCCGATGAAGAAATTGGCGTTCGTCCGATACCAGGCTTGAACGGTTCTGGAGACGATGGTCCGCCCCGTTTTTACGACCGTCCTCGACAGCGAGGGCACTATCAAGGTAACCCTGGCGAATTTCGTATCAAATTAGATATACCATTCTTTGAGGGCAGATTGCACATTGAAGACTATCTGGACTGGGAACGCGCTGTCGAGTCCTTCTTTGATTACATGGACATTGCTCCTGAAAAGCAAGTTAAGTATGTAGCCTGCCGCCTGAAAGGCGGGGCTGGTGCTTGGTGGCAACAGTTACTCCAGACTCGTCTACGCGAGGGTCGCGGATCAATTCGCAGCTGGCCGCGAATGAAGCAACTCCTTCGGAGCCATTTTCTGCCCACGGATTATGAGCAAATGCTCTATCTGCAGTATCAGCAATGCACTCAGGGCCAACGATCTGTGAGCGAGTATACTGAGGAATTCTTCCGCTTGAGTGCCATAAACAATCTCCACGAATCCGAAAGCTAGTTGGTTGCTCGTTATACCGGCGGCTTACGGGAATCTATACAGGAGAAATTAGAACTCAATTCCGTGTGGACTTTGAGTCAGGCAATGAACTTCGCCTTGAAGGCTGAGACACAATTTTCACGGCATTCCCGCAGCCAGTCCACCCGGAAGAATTATGGGGACTCTCCGGTTGAAGCATCCAGAGGACAAATATCCGGAGCTCGATCCCCTCATATTCCTCGCACATCCCCCACAATTACCTCTCCCCAGGGAACGGGACCAGCTGCTGCTG